GCGCTACCTATTACATCATATTTTTACCTATTATATTGAAAGTGTTCATACTTTTTATAAAAATGATCGATACTTATTTTAAAGTTATGTAATTTATGTTTCAATTTTTTAATAGTGTTTCATGTTTTCCACCTACAATATTAATTTAATAATTTCATTTGCACAAAAATTTATTTAATTATTTTGATATTTTATAAAATTTAGAATTTAAATTTAACAATATTAACCAAAGATAATAATAAATATGAAATATATATATTTTTTGTTTTTAATTTAATAATAATATATCGTAACGTAAAAAATAAATCATTAGACGTCTATAATTACTAAATTAATATCTTAAAACTCACTCAAAAGATAACCTTAAATTAATGTTTTCCACAGTGAAAAAAGTATGGACACTTTTATAAAAAGGATAGATACTTTACAATATAAGCACTACCTATTACATTATATAAACGCTACCTATTACATTATATAAGTGCTACCTATTACATCATATTTTTACCTATTATATTGAAAGTGTTCATACTTTTTATAAAAATGATCGATACTTATTTTAAAGTTATGTAATTTATGTTTCAATTTTTTAATAGTGTTTCATGTTTTCCACCTACAATATTAATTTAATAATTTCATTTGCACAAAAAATTATTTAATTGTTTTGATATTTTATAAAATTTAGAATTTAAATTTAACAATATTAACCAAAGATAATAATAAATATGATATATATATATTTTTTGTTTTTAATTTAATAATAATATATCGTAACGTAAAAAATAAATCATTAGACGTCTATAATTACTAAATTAATATCTTAAAACTCACTCAAAAGATAACCTTAAATTAATGTTTTCCACAGTGAAAAAAGTATGGACACTTTTATAAAAATGATAGATACTTTACAATTTAAACACTACCTATTACATTATATAAGCGTTACCTATTACATTATATAAGCGCTACCTATTACATCATATTTTTACCTATTATATTGAAAGTGTCCATACTTTTTATAAAAAGGATCGATACTTTTTTTAAAGTTATGTAATTTATGTTTCAATTTTTTTAATAATGTTTCATGTTTTTCACCTACAATATTAATTTAATAATTTCATTTACACAAAAAATTATTTGATTGTTTTGATATTTTATAAAATATTATTTAGAATTTAAATTTAACAATATTAACCAAAGATAATAATAAATATGTAATATATATGTTTATTTTTTTTAATTTAATAATAATATATACCGTAACGTAAAAAATAAATCATTAGACGCCTATAATTACTAAATTAATATCTTAAAACTCACTCAAAAGATAACCTTAAATTAATGTTTTCCACAGTGAAAAAAGTATGGACACTTTTATAAAAATGATAGATATTTTACAATATAAGCACTACCTATTACATTATATAAACGCTACCTATTACATTATATAAGTGCTACCTATTACATCATATTTTTATCTATTATATTGAAAGTGTCCATACTTTTTATAAAAAGGATCGATACTTTTTTAAAAGTTATGTAATTTATGTTTCAATTTTTTTTAATGGTGTTTCATGTTTTCCACCTACAATATTAATTTAATAATTTCATTTACACAAAAAATTATTTGAATGTTTTGATATTTTATAAAATATTATTTAGAATTTAAATTTAACAATATTAACCAAAGATAATAATAAATAAGTAATATATATTTTTATTGTTTTTAATTTAATAATAATATATACCGTAACGTAAAAAATAAATCATTAGACGCCTATAATTACTAAATTAATATCTTAAAACTCACACAAAAGATAACCTTATATTAATGTTTTCCACAGTGAAAAAAGAATGGACACTTTTATAAAAAGGATAGATACTTTACAATATAAGAGGTAAAAATATGACAAAACCAGTTTCATTATGACAAAACCGATAAAATTTACCTGATATGTTGAAAGTATGAACACTTTTATAAAAATGATAGATACTTACCGATAACCAAAGTTTACCGGTTACCAATTTTTTTAGTAGTTTTTCATGTTTTCTACCTAAAACATTATTAGTCTGTCAACATAATAGGTAGCGCTAAACCGAATTTATTAAATATCTTTTAATGTATCCGGTAATACCGTATATTAACCGTATATTAACCGGCATTTCCGGAGACAATCCGGTTTAGACCACCGACTTACCGGCCCTTTATGAGTTCTGTTTTTCACATGGAATCCATTAAATAGAATATATAATATAGACATTATTTTGTATTTAATATCCTACATGATAAGGCAGACTGAGTGGTAAAGGCGCCTGTATCACTCCTAGGAACTTGGGTTTGAGTCCCCTCCAAATCGGTGAGTTTTCCAAATCGGTGGGTTTAGACATTATTTTGTATTTTCCTCTAATTTGTTTTCCATCCAACCAGATAGTGACATGGTTGGAACAAAAAACAATTAAATTAAATATATCAAATTAACCAAAAATTGTCACTATTTGATTAGATGATTAAATTTATTGAATTAAATAAAAGTTATGATTAAATTGATAGAATATATAAGTATTGAAGATCAAATGTGTAATTATACCAATTTTATTAATTATCACGTCAGTACTTCCGTCAAATGTTAACGGCATGTGACTTGATTGAATGTATTTAAATAGTTAGGTGACCTGATTGACAAAAATAAAAATATGGTGGTTAAAATGAAAAGATGTAATAGTTAGGTGGTCATTGGTATAGTTTACTCAAAAACTAAATTACAATTCATAGTAAAGTTCATTAGAATATTATTCCCTGAAAAGGAAAAAAGAATATATGCATTGAACAAAAGAAACATAATTCATTTACACTATAATTCTCACTTAATATTACTCACCTGAAGTGACTGCATATGAGCTTTCTTGCTTTTTCCCCCTTCATTATTTTGAAAATCATATATGAGTTTTCATGCTTTTTTCCCCCTCTTCTGAAACAGTTTTTAGTGGCCCGGAGTTGTGGTTGGTATTATATACATATAATGAAAATGAAATAACTACATTCTAGAAACAAATATAATATTTATAATATAGGAAAATTTTAAAATTTATGTCAAACATTAGTATCCACCGCTAATTTTATAAGGTAAAGTTCATAAATGAACATTTTTTTAAATACATAAATGGACGTTAAATTATATCAAAATGATCTTTTTAGATGTCAAGCTTTCAAAATTTATATAAAAGATATTAAACTTTAGATTTTGTTACAAAATGGGCACAACGCCGTTATCTATCATTAAAGATACGATGTGACATGTTAAATTAATAAAAAAATCTTATTTGACTCCTTAATTGTAACTAAAATTTTATATTACAATTATTTTTTATTAAAATAATTTTATTATACTCATTGAATTGAAAACAAAATGGATATAATAAATTAAATATTATTTTGTTTTCATATTATAAATATTGAACTTATAATAGATTACTGGTACATTATTAAAAGTTAAGGATTGGTTCGATATTTTTATTTATGTATTTTTCTTATTAATATGATACTATTTTTCTGAACGTATTTTTTTAAAATTGTATTTAAAATTCTTAAACAAAAGTCAAGTGCTTAAATCACATCATTTAATAAAAAATAATTACATTATTTAATAATTTAGATCTCAAAAAGTATAGATTTTTAATTTTACAAATACAATCATAACTAATAAATAATAAAATAATTTGATGAATTCAAAAAAATAAATTTTAATTTTAAAAATAAATTATTTTCATATTTTTTAAAAAGTTCTAAATTTTATGATTTCTTTTTGAAATTATTACTTAATAATATTGAAAAATGTATAAAATGATATTTTAATTATAATTGAGGGGCCAAATAAAATATTTTATATTAATTTAGCATGACACATCACTCCTTAACAATATTTCAAGGTTACTATCTATCTTTTAATAAAATTCGAAGTTTAAAGTCTTTAAAAATTAAATGACAATTGAAATCATTTTAATAAATTTAGTGACCATTTATGAATTTTTACCATTTTTTATATTAGTGATGCATATCGATGCACATCATTATGGTGTACATAAGTGTGTATCACCCACTCTAGACTCATCCTCATAATATAATATTTATTATTCGATTCATTAAGTAATTAATACACAAATCAAATGTTATAAAGTCTAATTATGAAGACAATCTTTATGTTTAAATTTATTTTAGGTTTAATACAAAAAGTGATTAAACTATATATATATATAGGTACCTAAACTTTTTTTTAATTTATGTAAGTATCAAATGTTACCAATATTATCATTTTAAGTGTCTTAGTCACAAAAACCGTTAAAAAATCTATTATGTGACATTTCTTATTTATATTTGTTTTGAAAATTTGATTTTTTTTTAAAAATATAAAATTTTAATTTAAAAAAAACATTTAAAAAAATTAATTCCCCCTAGCCCACCACAACAAAACAGCCCTCCCTCCGTCCCAAAACCCCAACCGATTGAAACTCTCCCTCCCCAAAATCCCAATCGACTGAAACAACAAATGGAAGGGTTGCCGAAGAAGGTGGGCAATCTTGTATTCCAGATTAGAGGTGATCGACGATTATTATTAGGGTTTAGGGATTATGTATTTGAGATTGTAAGAATTAAGGATTTAAGTTTAGGGATTTGAGAATTTTGGATTTTGAGATGAAAGCAAGGATGATGGCCGATCAGTGGGTAACCGACGACGAATGAATAGTTGTTCAACTATGGATGGGTGGCCGGAGATGATACAACCTGAATTCTCCAACAAATACTAAGTTGGGGAACATCCCTATTTTCAAGGAGATGATACACTTAAAATAAGAAGTTTCAAAGAGTCGACTGCAATATGGCACTCATCTCTTCTGTCATCCGATACTAATACACAAGGGTGAATCTAAACTCCACTATACCCCAAAGCATTGCTTAAAAATGCAACACAAATATATATATATATAAATATATAAGCGATAAATACGGCAGAAGATAACATCAATATCCATAACTTTCAGAAAACATCAACAACCTAAGGTCAGATATAAAATCAAAACAAAGCAGTTTTGATCAAATAAAAGTCTTTAATCCAAATTCAATTTCATTTTAACAACTATTGCCTTAGTGTCTAGGCTTACCACCTTTCCCACGGCCTCGTCCAACTCCTTTTCCACCACGTCCTTTCCAACCACCACCTTGTGGTGCACTGTCTGCGTTGTGTTTTATCTTCATATCATCAGGTAAGGGGAGTATGTGATCAATACATTTCCGGAAGCTAAAATCATCAACAGTTTCATCCTCCCTAATCACAAAGAAACATTTACTATTCCACACAGGATGATTTCGGATTTGGAAAGCTTTGATGCCTCCACCAATCTTTCTCTCAGGCTCTAGATGGCCTTTTCTAAGCAAGTCCAGCAATACCATATGTTCATACTGCAACAGAAAATCAAAGATAAATGTAATATGAAACAAAAAAATTCAAATATTTCAGTGCCTAAGGATCAAATTTGACAATGATAGATTGAGGCAATGAATTTTATGTGCATCTTCTCTCATTCCTATAAACAATTTTTCCACAATCTAACAAGTGCTAATAGCAACAACATATCAGATTATGTTAGGCATCCCACATGAGTATTCCCCCTCCATATTTTGCTGTACTTGGAGGGTCATACAAGTGTCATTCACAAGGATTCAAATAGCGGCCGCTATATAGTGATGAGACAGCATTCAAAACCATTATTGCATAGAACGGCGGTGTGAAGCAGAACTACACCAATAGCGGGATCACGGCCGCAATTTAACCTGTATTTCCATATTGTTCCACTGTCCTATTTAAAAAAAAAATAACTCCTTAAAAAAATCTCATTACCACGAAAACATAGACACCAACATGCCAGTAATGGTATACTTGGTTTCTAATGAAAAATGAAAATAAACCCTTTACAACTCAAGCTTCATGTAACTAAAAAGTTTACACTTCTATGCAATCAATTACTTTCTTCATTCATAATGAAAGCTGCAAATATTTTTTTAAATAAATCTTCCTCTACATAAAGAAAAGTTGTAGCGAAACCAAAAATATGCCATTTTAATCAGTACCTTGTTGAAGTTCAGTTGAGTACCCCAATGATGAAGCAAATAGACAAAGTAACCAAACATTTCCGCCGATGTCCCGAACTCTTTCGGACCGAGACGGACAGGACTCGACTCGGGTAAGTCCGACTTCTTCTCAAGCCTTTCCTCCTCTACGGACTTCTCCAGCTTCTGCTTTTTGGATGCATCGTCGATTTCTTCGCCGTCTTCTTCTCTCTCGCGCTTCGATTTAGAGTCACCGTTGACGTCGTCCTTGGCATTGGGGTTTTGGGCGGATGAATCAAGGGTTTCGACATCCATGGCTTCAGTTGGTGGTTTGGGCTCCGGCGATGGCGCTTTCTCTGCCATTGCAGAATGCTAAAATCTCAAACCCTAGAAGGTTTGGCGTCAGTGAAGCAGATTTTGATTTAGAATCTTTGGTAGAAAAAGAGGATTTATAGCTTCATTTTCTTTTATCAAATCCCCAGTACGTGCTACCGAAAATAAATGCCCACTACGCTGTGGTTTATTGATTTGTTTTATTCTATTAATATTGGATTTAGGTCGAGTAAAACTCGACTCAGATTAAAAAAAATTAAAATTTATGATTTAAAAAATATAATATAATATATTTTTATTTTTATTTTCTTAGAAAATAAAAAACATTCAATAAAATATATTTGATTGTAAATTTAAAAAATGATTTTTAAAAAATAAAAACAAAAATAAGGGAAAATATGAAAACATAAAAAAATATTTTTAGTATTTTCATTAAAATTGTTTTGAAAATTTAAAAAATAAAAAAAATATGTGATTTAGATTTTTAATTTAACTTACACGAGTTCAATATTTTTTAACAATAATTTTTGACTTAATATTATATGAAATCCTCAAACTTTTACAAAAAAGTTAATGTAGTCCATGAACTTTTTTACACTCAATGTGATCTTTAAATTAATTTTTAATAAATTAATTTTAAAATATTTTTATATTTAATGTATTGAATATATTATTAATTTTTATATTTTATATTTAATTTTTTTTTATTTTTTATAAAAAGTTAAATAAGTAACCAAATTTTCTAAAAAAAATCAATTATACCTTGAACTTAGCTAGAAAATCAACTAGGGTCATCTATCATATCATTGTTCATTGTGTACTGTCATAATAGTATCATGAACTGTTACATCAATATTGTAAATTGTCATATAAGTTTCGTGAATTGTCATGTAAGTGTCATGACATTCAACATTTAATTTTATCGATCAAAGAGTTAGATTAATTTTTTTTTCAGTTTAAGAGTCACATTGAGTGTAAAAAAAGTTAAGGATTACACTATATTTTATCAATCAAGTGCATTTGATGTTTTAAAATAGCCAGAGTGCATCGATGCATGGCTGGTGCATCGATGCATCGATGCATCAAATGCATTCGATGTTTTCATAACATCCTCAGTGCATCGGTGCATGGTATGTGCATCGATGCATGAAATATATTCGATGTTCAATTTAATTCATGGTGCATCGATGCATGGATTGGTGCATCGGTGTATCACTCTGAAAATTTGATTTTAGGCTTGATTTTGGTTCAAATACTTTGTGAAAATTGTTTCAAAAATATATTAAGTATAAAACACAATTTTACACATTTAGTAAGGTTTGAAATTGATCTTAAAAGACTTGGAGTAATAATTTGATATTCGAGTAATTAAATCGAATATACTTTTAGAAAATCATTTGTAAAATCTTAAAATTCATTTAACTTAATTTGTTATATCGAAACATCAAAATGTTTTCAACAATCTCCCACTTTTTGATATAACAAAACTCTTGAATAATTTTAATATTTTGAAAATAAGTTTTGTAATCAATTTTGAACATTACTCCAAATTACTCCCCCTTACTATAACACTTCTCCCCTTTAAAACTTTTAACACCATTTAACACTTCTCCCCCTTTTTGTTAAATCAAAAAGACTTAAAATCGATTTAAACAATGTTTTGAAAAACATAGCCAATTGATTAAATATATATATATATAGCTTAAGCTGCTAAGATCACAATTAAAAGAGATATTAGCCATTAGTTTTATAATCAATATTCATAATAAAATGTGAAATGGTAAATTGGTCATATTTCAACTAAAAAGTAAATGATGCATATATTGTAACAAACCAAAATATATATGAACTAAAATTTCAAATATCCATCAAACAGTCATCCAACAATCAAAGAAAGACAATCCAAAATGTTTTAACAATTTAAATTCAAGTTCAACCCAAAAACAATCAAAGCAAGATAAATCTATTCATCCATTGAAGGGTCGGGAGGAGGAGGAGGGTAACGAGCTCTCACCTCAAGCGAGAGTACATCCAAACGATCATTCATATCTTGTTTTCGAGCTCCCAAGGTAGAGAGTTGGGACTCAATGAATGTGAAGCGCGAATCCATGGACGCATACCGTAAATCAAATGTCTCCAAAAATGAACGAAAATACGGAGACATTTAATCTTCTTGTGGAGCTGGTTCCGATGCAGGCTCGTCATCAGGTACGTGATCATTGATGTCTTGCATAAGTTGTTGAAATTCAGGATCATCATCATAAACCGGAGCCGGAGGAGGAGGAGCACGAGAGGAGCTAGGAGCAGTTCGTGAGGAACTAGCTCCCGGAGTTTTATTGCCGGGTCTAAAAACCCATTGACTGATTACCTCGTCTTGTTTCCAATCCACTTTCTTCAAGGATGTGAGATTGATTTGATTTTGGAGTGGGATAGGATTGTCGAGAGAGACTTCTAGACCAAGTTTTATAAAGAGATTACTAAGAAGACATCCATAAATAAATGTTTCAACATGTTTTGAAGGAATAATGTTTACGATATCCACTAGTTGACTGAATATAATGTGGGGCAGATTTATTTTTATTTTATTTTTAATATAATACATCCACCATAAATCCCTAGCACGAAGTGTGGAGTACCTACCTCTGGATGGTCTAAACCACCAAGAGATCATCAAATGGAGAAAACGGTCATGATGAGATCGTAGAGTACTAACACTGGAGTTTGGAACATAGGGATATTCCACATTTTCATTCTCATTATATACACCACTATCATCTAACCCAAATCGAAAAGCTATAGTCTCGGGGTCAATATTAGTATATTGGCCTAAAAGATAGGATCTAATGGCTATAGTTCCACATTGAGTTTCATTTTGAATACTCACCGCATTGGAATATAAAATGCAGACCAATTATTGATAGACGATAGGTTTAAGCTGAAACAATTTATCAAACTTCCAAGCTTTAAGAGTCGGAAGGTATTCGAAATCAATGTCAACTATGGTTTGAAGCGAATGAATACGCTCTTCGCGAATTCTATAAGTTTGGAAAGAATTTTTGTACCTAGAGTACAATTCATCTCTACGACGCTCAGGCATGTTAAAACAAGATCCTAATAGAGATGAAGGTGGAGGAGGAACCAGATTAGAAGGTTGGTTTGAACGAGAATGACTCGATGAAGTTCTAGGTCGTTTAGGATTTGGCATCGTTTAAAAGAAATCGGAATAAGGAATATCACCTGCAATTTGAAACACATGTATGCACAATCAATCCCAAAACTCAAATGAGTCCTCAATAATTCAAGGTTCTCTAAACCATATCCTAATAGGCATGTTTTGAAAAACTATTTGAAAACAATATTTGATTATAATATAGTTTTTATGACAAAAACAATTAAATCAAAAATATTTCTGATTTTCAAATTTCGATTTTTTTAATTTCGAAATTCAAATCAATTTTGAAAAATTGTGTGTTTTTGATGAAATTGGTTGTTAAAACTTGTTTAGAATCAACAATCAATTAATGCCCGATATAATGTACATTCTAGAACTAATTAAAACTAGTTCTAAAATCAAAAATTTGTAAAATTGAGGTTTTTAGAAAAATATCTTGAAAATTCAGATTGAGAGGGATGAGGAGTTGTTTTGCACGATTTAATGATTGAAGTAGGTTTGAAAGTTGAAAAGCTTGAAGATTCCGATGAAAAATCATTAATTTTGAGCAAGAATGAATATTTTTAGAGTGAGAGGAACGAACGACTAGAGAGAATATTTTTAGAGTGAGAGGGACGAATGGCTAGAGAGAATAGTTTTTAGGGTTTGAGATAAATGAGAAAAATAAGCCTTTAAAACCCCAAAACCCGACGGATGCATCGATGCCTGACCCTATGCATCGATACACATTCAAGGCGTGCATCGGTGCATTAAAGGGATACATCGATGCATTGTTAAGTGCATCGGTGCATGAAGCACAAAAAGTCAAAAATCTATTTTAATACTCAAAATGCTAAATTAATTAGCTCTAGTGGTATTGGCAACTTATACATTAAAAATTAATCATGTTCAATCAATCAAATTAATATTTATTTGAACATAAAATTAATTTTCATCAAGAATCATAAACTCCCCCTAACTAATAGCAAGAATGCAATCAAAAATATTATTTTAAGCATTTTTCATTTATTCTTAAAAGTGCTAAAAATTATTTTTAAACACTAACTGAAGATAGGTCAGTTAAACCTAATTCTCTCCTAAGTGTCCAAAATCTTTCATTATCTAAAGGTTTTGTAAAGATATCCGCTAATTGATGCAAAGTATCAACAAATTCTAGAACTACATCTTCCTTAGTGATATGGTCTCTAATAAAGTGATGTCTTATTTCAATGTGCTTAGCTCTAGAGTGTTGGATGGGATTTTTTGTGAGACAAATAACACTAGTATTGTCACACTTGATAGGAATGGTACCTACTTCAATTCCATAATCAAAAAGTTATTGTTTCATCCATAAAACTTGTGCACAACAACTACCAGCTGAAATGTATTCAACTTCAGTGGTAGATAATGCAACACAATTTTGTTTCTTTGAAAACCAAGAAATCAACATATTTCCATGGAATTGGCAAGTATCGGAGGTGCTTTTCCTATCTAATTTGCATCCTCCATAATCCGCATCAGAAAAAGCATGCAAGCTAAAGCTAGAGTCTCTAGGATACCAAAGTCCTAAACTAGGAGTGTCCTTAAGGTATCTAAAGATTCTCTTGACAGCTAGTAAATGTGATTGCTTAGGGCATGATTGAAATCTAGCACATAAGCAAACACTAAACATAATGTCTGGTCTACTTGCAGTTAGATAAAGAAAAGAACCAATCATTGACCTATATAATTTAACATCCACACATTTACCTCCTTCATCCAAGTCAAGCTTTGTAGAAGAGCTCATTGGAGTGTCATGAGGTTTCCCATTTTCCAGTCCAAACTTCTTGAGCATATCTTTGACGTACTTAGCTTGATTGATAAATATGCCATCTTTTCTTTGCTTGATTTGGAGTCCCAAGAAAAATGAGAGCTCCCCCATCATGCTCATTTCGAATTCGCTTTGCATTAGCTTAGAAAATTCTTGGCAAAGAA